GTGAACCTGGTATCCCTTTGCCTACCTATGATTATTTTTTCCTTTTTAATTTATTGTGGTAGCATTGGTTAATAACATTACATAAAGTTTTAGGCTTAACCAAGTATTCTTTTCTTATGATAAATTTTGTATCCTATTTTCCTCTTCTCCAGTTTTGTTCCTGGTTCATTTTAGCATCATACTAGTTAGCTTTCAGAATTCATTAGTGGAATGACAGTGTCCTAGCAGTGGAGCTGTTGGGAGCACCTTAATTCCTTGCCTGGCCTGTGTATCTTTATAACATGTTTTTTTTGTTTGTTTGTTTTTTGTTTGTTTTTTTTTTGGTTTGTTTTTAGCTGAACCATCCTGCCACCTGTTGGCAGCTCACGGCTGCTCAGCACGGGCTGACTCGAACCACTGTTGCTCAGAGCTCAAACTCTTGAGCGAGCTCTTAACCAACTGAGCCACTCGGCCGGCCCTTTATAACATGTTTTGATAATAACGATATAGGTACCTCTCAGCCGGCTACCTTACATCCTTGATAACTGATCTTCACAGAAGTCCCAAGAGGTCTATATATTCAGCCCACTTTACAGATGTACATGAGACAAAGAGAGGTTAGGTAAATCGCCGAAAGTTACATGGCTAGTAAAGGGTGGAGCTGGGATTTGAACCCAGGTCTCCTGGTCTTAAAGCTCAGGCTCTTTTTTTCCCCTCATTCTTGAGATTTTGCATTTGCTTTTGTTCATATTAGTTCTTGGCTTCTCTCTAGTAAATGAAAACTCCCATAAATTGTGATCAAGAAGACAAGTGTTTAAAGCTTCTGCTGTAGTACTTTGCATAGAATGTAAGCTTAGCAAATCCTCAATGATAGATTTCACTTTGATTATTGTACATACTTAGTGTTCGAGTTGTTGAATTCGTGGCTATGCCAACGATGACTTGTATGCCCAGATTCACCTTTAATTGTTACCAGAGCTACCAAGATGTTGGTCACCCTCACGTGAGGTCTTAAATTTATCAGTGCCCTTTCCTGGAGAGAATCCAATAGGACTTGTCATGTGCATCCTGCTCTCTCGGTGATCTCTGCTATAATTTAATAATAGGTATTAAATGATACCTATAGGTATAAATTTGTCTTTCAGCATCTGCCAAGTGCCGTTGTAGCATTCGCTTATGTAGCCATCATGAAAACCTGCCAGTGGGTGTTATTGTTTTTACCGTTATTTAACCCGTTTTTGTGAAGTCGCAGGCATGTGTCTTGTGCAGGACCATTCAGGCAGCAGGTGGTGAAGCAGAATTAGGACCCAGGACTGGAGGCCCCAGAGCCCAGCCTCTGCCTCCTGCGCTGGGTCATGGCTGCCATTCCTCTGAGCTGGGCGCGGAGTGCTGCAGCAAAGCCAGGCCCGTGGCCCTCTCCGCCCTGAGCACTTTCTCACCCCAGGCACGGCTCCTCCCCAAGCAGGGTCCTCTTTCCTGGGCAGGGTCCTCTTTCCTGGGCAGGGTCAGGTCATGGGAAGGGCTCAGCTCTAGAGCCCGCCAGCCTGCCTTTGCCTCACAGCTTCACTGTTGACACACTTGACCCTCTGTGAGTCCTCAGCTAGAGCCTCAGTCCTGCATCTGTAACATGGGATGATAATCCCCATCATATAGAGAGGCGTGAGCACTAATCAGTTTTCCTACGCATAGCACCTGCCAGAGAATCACAGCTATTATTCGTTAGCTTGGGCTGCCATCACAGATACCACAGGCTGGGTGGTGTAAACGACAGAGATTTAGCTTCTCACAGCTCTGGAGGCTGGAAGTCCAAGATCAAAGTGTCAGAAAGGTTGGTTTCTACTTGGCCTCTCCGCTTAGCTTGCAGATGGCCGCCTTCTCACTATGTCCTCACATGGTTGTCCCTTATTCTGTATATCCTCCTCTTGTAAGGACACCAGCCCTATAGGATTAGGGCCCTCCCTAATGATCCTATTTAACTTAATTGCCTCTTAAGAGTCTTGATCTCCAAATACAGGTACAGGGGATCAGGGCTTTGACATATGAATTTGAGGGGCAGGGGGACACAATTCAGCCCATAGCATGCAGCGTGCACACCTTCCACCCATGTGAATTTAGACATACGGTGCTAAACAAAAAGGCAACAGGGAACATAAGGTCCGAAGGACTGTGGGTGAGTCTGCTCGCTGTTCCACTCAGTGGGTGTGTATCCCAGAGGGAGAAGGAGGTAAGATTAAAATTTGTTTGACCTCCTTCAACATCCATTCCCCTGTATCTAAACATGAGCTGAGGGTGATTCCCACGTTTAAGGATACGCGTTTCTCACCAGCGTGGCCTGTGAACACCAGCCAACTGCTTCATCTGGTTCTCAACCAAAGGAGCGGTGACCAAGGCTAGTCTGGGCCGTACATGGGTTCTGCCTTGTACTTCTTTAGAATTGTGGCAGACGCTGCTGGTGGCTTGCCCTGCACCTGCCCCACCTGAGCTGACCTCCAGCTGTAAACAGGTCCCCACTGCTGACAGCTTCCCACCTCCTCAGGGCACCGCCCGGAAAGGGGGGAGTTAATACCCTGGGGAGTGGGACTAGGAGTCGGGAGGTAAACGTCCCCACCACAGTGGGGCGGTCTGATTCTGCGTGGTCTCTCCGAGGGTGCCTGGTGGTTAAACCCCAGTGAGCAGATCAATAACCTGCTTATAATAGGCTCTCACGGTCCCCATTTCCTCACTTGTACTCCCTGACATTGCCTCTCAGATTAACTACCTTACCCAAGTCCATGTATCAGGGACTGCTTCTAGGGAAATCCAAAGTTAACTAAGAGCCGAGATGTTCCTGATACCTGGTAGAGTCTCTAGACACGGTCCACCATAGACGTTGTTTGGGAATCTGCTGAGCGCAAACCCTTGCTTCTGGAACTGCAGGTACATGTGGGCCTCCCAGACCGAATTGGTCCACCGGCCCTGGGACCACACCTACTAAGTGCTTTCCTTCTTCCCCCTCTAGGTCATCGAGAAGAACTTGAGCGGCTGGTGGTACATTCAGATTGAAGATAAGGAAGGGTGGGCCCCAGCAACCTTCATTGACAAGTATAAGAAGACCAGCAACGCCTCGAGGCCCAACTTTCTGGCTCCTTTGCCCAGCGAGGTGGCCCAGCTCCGGCTGGGGGACGCAGCAGTGTTGGAGAACAACACGGGCAGTGAAGCCGTCGGCCCCTCTCGGCCCCTGCCCGATGCGCCGCATGGTGCTGTGGACGCCGGGATGCCGTGGTCCAAAGACTGGAAGGGCGGTAAGGAGGCCCTGAGGAAGGCGTCTTTAGACATGTCATCATGCGCGGGCTACGAGGAGATCTCAGACCCCGATCTGGAGGAGAAGCCCAGCCTCCCTCCCCGGAAAGAATCCATCATCAAGTCAGAAGGGGAGCTGCAGGAGAGGGAGCGGCAGAGGGTGGAACAGCTCAGGGGCTCCTCGCCCAAGCCTCCTGGCATGATTTTGCCAATGATTCCAGCTAAACACACCCCCCCAGCCCGGGAGGGCAGGAGGCCAGAGCCCAAACCTGACAAAAGCAAGCTGTTCCAATTAAAAAATGAGATGGGGCTGGAGTGTGGCCACAAAGTGTTGGCCAAGGAAGTGAAGAAGCCCAACCTCCGGCCCATCTCCAAATCCAAAGCCGACCCACCAGAGGAGAAGCCGGAAGCCGTCCCCCAGAATCCCTTCTTGAAGTCCAAACCTCAGGTCAGGCCAAAACCTGCTCCTTCCCCCAGGACAGAGCCACCTCAGGGTGAAGACCAAGTGGACATCTGCAACCTCAGGAGCAAGCTCAGGCCTGCCAAGGCCCAAGAGAAGCCCTTGTTGGACGGGGAGAGCGGCCACCAGGCTGCAGCGGGCCAAGACGTGGCCTTCAGCCGCAGCTTCCTCCCAGTGGAGGGGCCTGGCCGCGCCCAGGACAGGACGGGCAAACAGGAAGGGCTTGGCCCAAAAGACATGGCCTGCAGGGTCCCCCCAAAGCCAGGCAAGGCGGCAGACCCCGTGCCTAAGAGTGTGCCCCTCCCTCTCCAAGAGGCTCCCCAGCAGAGACCTGTGGTCCCGCCCCGGAGACCACCCCCCCCCAAGAAAACCTCATCATCATCCAGGCCCCTCCCAGAGGTCAGAGGGCCCGTCCTGGAGGCCAGAGGGCTGCAGCGGGAAGCCAGCGAAGGCAAGGCGTCTCCTGCCCCCGGCCGGGCCCTGCTGGTCCCTCCAAAAGCCAAACCTTTTCTCTCCAATTCCTCCTCGGGGGGCCACGATGACATTCGAGGCAAAGGCGGGCTGGGGCCGCGGATGGTGGGCAAGATCGGAGAAAACAGGGAGAAAGTGGCTGCAGCCCCTTTCCCCAGTGCCGACAGCCCGAAGGACTTGTATGTGGCCGTGGCCAACTTTGATGGCGATGAAGATACCAGCAGTTTCCAGGAGGGGACAGTGTTTGAGGTCCGCGAAAAGAACAGCAGTGGCTGGTGGTTCTGCCAGGTCCTCAGTGGGGCCCCCTCCTGGGAAGGGTGGATTCCTTCCAACTATCTCAGAAAGAAGCCCTAGCCTCCTCTGTCCCTGTCTGGAGGTCATGGGTGTCCCTGCTGGCTTTACCCACATGTTTAATATGCCTCTTAATTTATCAATCTCCACGCAGCTTCAAAGGCAGGAAGACTGGAGAACTGCGGTTTCTTCCTCCCATGGGTAGAGTCAGCCCTCCCACCACAGCAGCCCCTGGAGGCTCAGAGGCCACCGGCTCACTTTCTCTCCACTCAGTATCTCTGCCTTAAGGCCAGTGGCACTGCCACCCAGCGTCCCTGCCCACCCAGCAGCGGGACCATGACTCTCCAAAGCCCCCAGGATCAGAAGCCACTGTCTGGAGAAACTGCAGGAAGGGTTTTTTGTTGCTTGGACCCAGCGTAGTACGGGGCTGCCCCCTGGCACCCCACCCAGTCTGTGATGGCTTGCTCCAACTTCGCCATGTCTCTAAAAGCCCAGCGACGTTATTCACTTAGTTTCCAAAATGCCTGGTACCAGAAGGGACGTCATACTGTAGAAGTGGGCTCCGTGGCCAATCCCAGGGAGGGCCCTCTTCCTGAATTTTCATAGAGGGTTTTCTTCTTCCTTCAGGTATGGAATTATGAAGCTGTGTAGAAGATCATTTATTCCCAGCTCTTCAATTTCAGTCACTTGATGTCATTAAATAGTAGACCTGTGTGACTTCCTCTGGTATGGTGAGACAGTCAGGCCCATGGGCCTCTCAGGTTCGACCAGATGCAGCTGCCCCAGGAGTGGGCCTGGAGGGCCACTTGGCCATCCTGCCTCCCATCTTCTGTCTTGGGAGCCTGGCTGGTCCTACAGGGATGGTTCTAGCCCGGAGGATGCGTCCCTTCCTGCCACAGGCTCCGGTCCATCCCTGCCCTGCCTTGGGCGTTTCACTTCTGTCTACCTAGAGCAAGAGTTTCAACGCTTGTTCAAAAAGGGGGACCATTCACAAGCTATGCCCCTTGCTGAGTAGCTAGTAGGTGCCACACTCTGTACATGGCACTTTACATTCATGTTTAACCCTCACAACAGCCCTGTCTTATAATATTGTACCCATTTTATAGATGTGGAAACTTGGGCTCAATGTGCCCAAGGCCCACACTAGCTAGCAAGAGGAGAGAGGATTAGAATCCAGGCCGGCCTGACTTCCAAGCCTGTGCCCTTCGCCCTGTAAGAGGCAAACCGGGCGGGGGGCAGGGGGCAAGCTGGTTGGGTGTTAGAGTCCTGTTTTCTGCTCCTGTGCTGGTGCCACGCCCTGAGGATAGAGCTTATGGAGCAGAGGGGGCTGAGGTGGCCTCACATGGCAGCCATGAAAGGCCCTGGTGGCTCAAGGACCAGCAGCTGTGTGTCCTCCAAACCGAGCGTAGCAAAAGCGGTAGCCCTTTCAGGAGACGGACCCAGGGCCAGGCAGACATCTCCTGCCGCTCTCTGCTGCTGCTTCCTGCTCCTCTCTGACCTTTGCAGTTTTCTTTTTGCCCCTGCACTCAGCCTGTCTGTCATCTCACTGGGGGGAGCCCAGGGCAGCCCTCCCACCCGTTTTGATGCTGCGGCCCACTGACAGGCGTGTTCATGTCGTGTCACGGCCACATAGCAAAACTAGAGCCCAGGACCCAGGGTTTCTGGCTCCCAGGCCAGAGCTCTTGCCTGTGAACCAGGCTGCCTGGGAGTGAGGGGACAGCATCCCTCCGCACCCCCCGCGACCCTGCAGGGGGAGGGGAAGGGGCCCTGGCCTGCCCTACACTGACCAACTTTCCTGGGGATGTTCGCTGCCCACCTGCAGTGCCAAAGGTCCATGTGCACAGCCCTCTTGTGTGCTCCTCCCTCAGCCCGCCACCTGGGCTCGCTTCCTGAGACGCAGGGCAGCGTCGCATTCCTCTGGTCAGTCTCTAAGTCCTGTCCCGAGAGCCTCAGGGCAGCGGCTGCTTGCTCCATGGCCCTACGCCCAGCACCTTGGGGGGAAGGAGGGAGGCTGGGAGAGGGCCACCCACCTCTTCACGGTCCCCCCCCTCACTTGGGAGGAGGCCCCATAGCATGTTTTCCTGTTTTTGATTCACTTTGGTTTAAACTGTCTTTGTGATGCTGTTATGCAGGATTTGACTTCATTTCAAAAGACAAAGCTCTAAATGGGGTTTTTTTTTTCTGACTCGCTTTCTGCTTTCATTGCTCTTTTCAAGTGTTTTGTGAATGCCTCCCATGTACTAGGTGCTGGGTAGACCAGGTCTCGGGCGGCACCCTGCCTGCCTGGGAGTTTTGTCTGCTCTTTTCCACGGACGGGGTTTGTCCTTGACCTCGTTCTCTCCTCTCGGGGATCAGCTGAGTGGGAATGGGCTGGCTCTGCCTTTCTCTGGGCAAAACATTTTCCTGCAAATGAAAAAAATTGCCTTTTTGTATTATTTTGTTATTCTGAATGGAACTGATGGTACTGAAGCCACAGTCTTCTCTGTTCCCCATTCCTTCCTCTCTCCAGCTCCTTTTGCCACAGTGGTGGGCCCTTCCCCAGGTACCTGGAAGTGGGGGGGTTCTCGATGGCAGTGGCTCTTCCTAGGTGTCCTTGCCTGGGGACTTAGGTTTACACCATCTAGGACTGTGGCCGCTATTCTGTGAGCAATTGACGAAGCATATGCAAAATTCCCCTGGAATGACAGCTGTGGAAAACGGCCTAGGCCATGGGAATAATCCCAACCCCAAGCTCCGGCAGGTCCCCGGGGCTTAAACACGCTCCCTCCTTTTCCTTGGTCCTCACGACAACCCCATGAGGTGCATGGGATCAACCCCAAGCTAGACTGAGAAAATCGAGGTTCCGGGGGTGAGGCCCCACGCCCAGCTTTACCCAAATGGTGACCAAGCTGAGACTCAGATCCAGGGTGTTTTCCTCCCCGATGCCCTGCCGTCAGCAGTGAAATGCACCTGGGGCTTCCAGGGAAGCAGGTGGCCCTCCCTCGGAATTTGGATTTCTCCCCCTCCCACCCCCGATTATGCTTGTCAGTAGGTCACAGGCAAATGCCAGGTTAAGGGCCGGCAAAGGTTTTTTTCCCCTCGCCCTTGCGTATTTCCCTGTGATGACTATTTTATCTTACACCTTGTGGTGTCAACAGCTCTTTGGAAAATCTGAGCTTTAGGGTCACCACTTGATCAAATAGGCCTTTGCTCAAATTTTGCCCTCAAAATTTCTTTGCCATTTGGTGGGTTTGTGTCCTTGTCCCAGAGACAAGACTAGGGGAGAGCTGGGCTCCAGCTCAAACCACTTTTAATGCCCGGCCCTGGTAAACAATTGCTAGAGCCCAGATCCGGCTTCCTATAAGCCTCTGCCATGGGCCTCTCCATGTCATCAATTTCTTAGGTAGAGTTCTAGGCCTTAAAACATTTCTGAGCCCACCGGGGATTTCATTAGCAGGCGGGACAGAGGGAAACAAACTTGCCACGTTAAAGGGCAGGTGCCGCATCTCCCTAAGGTTTGGAAGGACCTTCGGCTCAGGGACGGACAGTCTAGTATATACTCAGCCTGTACGAAGTACCCAGAACTGAGTGGGAGAAACAAGGAATTGCTCCTGCTCTCAAACAGCTGGCAACTCGACCTCATCAAGAATGAGAATGGCCGTGGTTTGGCTCCCACCCTCTCACTGTGCCGATTCTCTAAGCGTTGCGTCAGGACGCTCCTTGGGAGGTCTTGCCCTCTTTGCATTGTTTCGGTGGGCACCTAACAGCCTTAGCCACGCATGGCAGTCCTGTCTGCCCTCCTTGGTTGTCCAGGCCCATCATTAGGGCTTTTGCTGCAAACAGCCATACCATGCCATAGACCAAAGATTCCCTAGTGTTAAACTGTGGCCTGAATGGTGGTAACTGGCTCACATTGAGGCCTGAGGGTGCGGGTGCCCACTCTTGGCCTGGAGGAATTGCTCCGAACTTGGCTAACGTTCTGACATGGCTGCAGAGTTAAAACCAGGAGGCTCCCCAGTTCTTGCCCACTCGTGGGCCACCTGCTGAGGACCCTGCCAACCACCCAGCTCCATGGTCCCCCAGCTCCATGTCTGGTTTCTGGTGCTACCCTGCCAAGTTATTGAGCCCCTCCCTCATTGGGCGTCAACAACCCACCTTCCTATTACTCTCCTTTACTCCACGGGAAGCCTTCCTCCTTCCAGTCTGGGACAAGGGGGCTCAGTGTCTTTCCTTGGAGAAGCCAAACTCAGTGCCACAGCCAGTACCTTTCACCTTCAGGCCTTCTGTGAACATGACAGGAGGTGCCCCACCAGGCTCGTGACAGCAATAAGCAGTTCTGAGACAATGGAGGCGTCCATATTTGACCCCCGTATGTACGCCTGTGTGCCCGTGTCATTGTTACTAGCACCCCTTTCACTCTTACAGGGGTGGTGAGAAACTGGTCACCTTAGCTACGACCCACACGTCCTGCTTCAGGGAGCCTCCAAGTAAATCGGCCCTTTCTTACGTCCCTCCAGGAACAGCGGGCTCTGACAGCATTGCCCCGCCACCTCATGTCTGCTCATAAGATGACGCGGGAGATCTCTGCATACTCGGCACTCCTTATGCCCTCTTGGCAAACGAACAAAGTCTGGTAGTGTTTTTTTGTTTCCTTTTAACACACACACACAAAATACATGAGGATATATTATGTGAGGGGGGTGATGAACAATTAGCTGTAGCATGTATAGACTATATACTACCATTAGACTTTTTCTTTTTTTTTTTTAAATAAAATGCTTGACTGGTTTCAAGCTTCGTTGTGAAGATGCAGTGTCTATGGATTTTTTTTGGCTGAAGAAAAAGGGTGCATAGCTTTGTGCGCTAGCATCTTGGCCTGGAGTTTTGAAATGAAAGAACAGAAGCCTATGTGAGCTTATATGTTTGGGTATTGCTGAGAAATAGGGGTGACTTCTCTCTCTGGGCCATAGTGCACCTTGGTTTTTTTAACTAGTGTCCAGAAACCAAGGGAAAACTGGGTGTCCACCACATGTCCTCAGCTCCGCCCAAACTGGAAGACTTCACATGGTCAGGGAGTGGAGCCTCACTGGCATTGCCTCCTGATGGGCAAGAGTGTGGTGGAGGGAGTGCAGGGGCTGCTCAAGCCATCTGTTCCTGGGGGGGGGGGATGTGGGGGATGAGGGGTTGGAGGGCTTTGCCTGAAGTTTTAACACTTTCCCAGAGGCAGAGAACTTCAAAGGGGGGATTTACATAAGTATTCATCCTCCCTTGGAGGAAACACTAAAGGAAGCAATGCCCTCTGGCAGACCTTGCTTAGGAATAATGGTTATTCATATACTGTATTAATCTCTGCTCCCATAAGAAGGAAAATTGTTATGTGGTTCAGGCCCCCCTTGGGAGCATTTTCTCCCAAATCTTCCAAACCAAGAGTGCTTAGCCATAGGATGCAGGTGGCAGTGGCCTGCGCTTCCCTGGCAGGTGTGGAGGGGCACTGGGCCTCACGGGATGGGATGGAAACAACTGTGGTCAGGAACCAAACCTCACTTATCCTGTCGCCTCCCCTCAGGTCTCCCTTGGAAGCAGCACACACCATTCCCTTTATACCGTTCCAGGAGTGTCGTGCCAAACTCCCTCCTCTACAGGGTCCTGGGGAATTTGTGGGTCCAAGACACATCGTGAGGCCACTCTTCCCCAAGTCCAGGGTCTTTCATTCCCACCCTTCTGTAGCTCAGTGCCCATCTGGTCCTCACCACCTTGCAACCCATGCCTCCCAACCAATGGTTCTCAAATTGCAGTGACCATAAAATGAGCCAGGGAACTGGTCACAGTGCACATTCCTGGGCTGCGCCCCTGAAAGTCAAAATCAGCAGGAACCTGCACCCTTAAAAAGTATATTATGAGGAAATAGCCCAAATGGTCCACTTTTGAGAAACAGACTCTCCACCTTGCCTGCCATAGTCCTAGGTGTTCAAAAATGGTGCTTCGTACTATTATTATTGATGTTGCCATGGTTTTCCTGTGCGTTTACTAAATTCCTGGCCTGTGGAGCACACAACACACACTCATTTCACCCTCAAAGTGCTCAGTGAAGTAGATTTCTGCATTTTCTCTAATTCCTTTCAACTGCCTGCAGCTTGGCCACACACTTGTACAGTATAGTATAGAATAGTGGTCTTCAAACCGTTTTCATTGTGGACCCTCATGCATTACTAAATAAACGTATCAGGTACAAGAATTAGGTGGGAAGTCCTTACACCACACGCCTGGGGCTCCCTTCCATGTGAAGGGAACTCCATTAGACTAATGCTCCAGCCTTCTCTGTCTCCCTAGGGTAGAGGAGGGACTTGTCTAGATGATCGACATTTAGGAGAGCTGAAGCCAGACATGCATAGCTCAGCCCCTCTGTCTGTCTCTCCTGTTTGGGGTCAGGTGTCCTCAGAGCACACCTTCCCCTTGGCGCGTTGGCAGTGGGAGGCTTAGTGGTAAAAAGGGTGCTTTTCAGAGGTGCCTGTAACTGCATCAGTCAGCATGTCTAATTCTGGGATGCGGACTTAGGAGACCCATGGTTGCGGCCCACTCCCCTAAGCCAGATGCTCCCACAGCCCGCTCAGGAATAAAACTGAGATTTTGTTCTCCAGTCCCCAGAACCCTCTGTCTCTCTCAGTTCTGAACTCAGGTGACGAGAAAGGGGAACAAACATATTAGGCTCCTTAAAAACTATCCATTGGGCCGGCCGAGTGTCTCAGTTGGTTAAGAGCTTGCTCAAGAGTGCGAGTTCTGAGCTACAGGGTCGCCGGTTCGATTCCAGGCCCAAGCTGAGCTTTCGCTGCGCTGCCAACAGGTGGCAGGATGGCTCAGCTAAAAACAAAAACAAAAAAGCCAAAAGAAAACTATCTATTGACTACTGATTAGGCTAATGTTAGCTGATTTATTATAATATATACAAAATTTAAGATGCCTAAAGGATAAGATAAAATTTTATAATTAAAAGATCTAATTTTTCACTGTGCTCCCACGATGCTCAGACCCCACTTTGTCAACCACTGACCGTTATGGATTTTGGGGTTAGACGGAGCTGGGTTTCAGTTCTGGGTCTGATAAGCACTTTCCCTCTTAGTATCCTCAGCTGTGAAATAGGGGACAAGAATGCCTTTCCAAGAGAGCTGTGAGGGTAAACGGAAATAACGTATGCCTAGTCTTCAAATATTTTCATTACCTAGTGCAGGAGTTGGCAAGCTTCTACGTAAAGAGCCAGATAGTAAATATTTTGGGCTCTGGGAGCCAAGAGGCAAAACCAAAATGTTACACAAGAACTTACATAACTCTTTAAAATGGAACCGTTTAGCATGTGGAAACCATTCTTAACTCTGAAAACACGGGCAGCTGGATGGATTGGGCCCAAGGGCTAGTTTGCCAGCCCCCTGACCTTGTGTATATTCCTCTCCTATTTTATTACTTTTCTCTAAATGAAAGTTTTTCCACAGCGTGTTTATGGAACCAGTCCCTCACATGATCATGACAAAGCATTGTGTGGTTAAATCCACTTGGCAAATGCTGTGTGAGCATCATCCAAGCCTCTTCTCCTTGGGGACCCGTGTCACACACTAGCACATTAAAGGTTCTGAGAATACTGCTCTAAAAAAGCTGTTCACCCTGCTTCAGTTCCAAAATGTATTTGACAACAGAATTTTTTTTTCCCGCGTCACATTTATGATCATCCCACAGAACATACTTTGGAAAATGCCGCTCTAGATCCTAGAATGTAATCGTTATTTGGAACGTCAGGGTATTAAGCTGAGTTCATGCCCCATAATGCGTGCCTCTGAGGACTTTGTCTTGGATGGTATGTGTCAGTTACTGCCTGCGTCTGACTAACCAGGTCAACTTGGTCTTCAGCTTGAAGCAGCAGCTTCTGAGTGTCTTTGGAGGAGATCCGAGAACCAGACCATCCATGTCTTTGCGGCTGTGAACATGGACTTGCTAAAACGCTCACTATATTTTTGATTGTGGTAAAAAATACACATAACATGAAATTTACCATTGCAACCCTTGTTAAGTGTATAGGGCAGTGACATTAATTACATTCACTATGTTGTGCCATCATCACCACCATCCATTTCCAGAACTTTCTCATCTGTCCCAGCTGAAACTCTGTATTCATTAAACAACTCTCCATGCCCCCTCCCTCCCCCAGCCCCTGGTAACCATAACTCTACTTTCTCTCTCTGAACTTGACACCCCTAGGAACCTCACGTAAGTGGGATCCTACAGTATTTGTCCTTTTGTGGCTGACTTGTTTCACTTAACATAGTGTCCTCAAGGTTCACCCGTGCTGTAGCATGTGAATTTCCTTCCTTTTTAAGGCTGAACAATATTCCATTGTGTGTTTTTACCATATTTTGTTCATTCATCTGCTGATGGACACTTGGGTTGCTTCCATCTTTCAGCTATTTTGAATATGCTGCTGTGAACATGAGTGTGCAAATATTTATTCGAGTCCCTGATTTCAATTCTTTTGGGTATGTACCCTAGAAGCGGAAGTGCTGGATATGTAACTCCATGTTTAACCTTTGAGAAACCTCCATACTGTTTGCCATAGTGGCTGCACCAATTTACATTCGCACCAACGGTGCACAAGGGTTCCCTTTTCTCCACATCCTCACCAATGCGTACCGCTTGTGTTTTTGACAATAGCCATGCTCACAGGTGTGAGGTGTTATCTCACTGTGGTTTCAATTTGCATTTCCCTGATGACTAGTGCTGTTGAGAACCCTTTCATGTACCTGTTGGCCATCTGTATGTCTTCTTTGGAAAAATGTCTGTTCAGATCCTCTGCCCATTTTTTAATCAGATATTTGTGGGTGTTTTTTACTATTGAGTTGTATGAATTTTTTATATATTTTGGATAGTAACTTTTATCAGATATATGATTTGGAAATATTTTCTCCCATTTGGTAGATTGCCTTTTAATCTTGTTTATGGTTTTCTTTGCTGTGTGGAAGCTTTATATTTGATATGCTTTTAGTGTCAAATACAAAAAATCATCAAGACCAATGTCAAGGAGCTTACTGCCTCTGTTTGCCTCTAGGAGTTTTAAGGTTTCAGGTCTTATGCTCAAGTCGTTAATCCATTTTGAGTTAATTTTTGTGTATAGTGTAGGATAGTGGTCCAGTTTCACGCTTTTAAAAATTATGGGTTTTTTTTAGTTACAGTAGACATTCAATATTCTTTTATATTAGTTTCAGGTGCTCAGCATAGAGGTTAGACATTTATATAATTTATGCAGTATATATATGCAGCAATATAATCCTCCCAATTAGGCTGGAACCCACCTGGCACCATACACAGTTGTTGCACCATTACTGAATATATTCTCTACGCTGTACTTTATATCCCTGTGACTATTTCGTAACTACCAATTTGTACTTCTTAATGCCTTCACCTTTTCACCCACTTCTCTACCTCCTCCCCTTTGGCAACTATCAGTTTGTTCTCTGTATCTATGAACCTGTCTCTGTTTTGTTTGTTCATTTATTTTGTTCTTTAGATTCCACATATAAGTGAGATCATATGTTATTTGTCTTTCTCAATCTGACTTGTTTCATTTAGCATAACACCCTCTAGGTCCACAAATGTCATCACATCCACTTTTATTCTTTTGCATGTAGCTGTCCAGTTTTCCCAGCACCATTTATTGAAAATACTGTGCTTTCCACATTGCATATTCTTGGGTCTTCTGTTGTAAATTAATTGACATATATACATGGATTTATTTCTTGGCTCTCTATTCTGTTCCATTGATCTGCGTGTCTGTTTTTATGCCAATACTATACTGTTTTGATTACTATAGCTTTGTAATATAGTTAGAAGTCATGGAGTGTGATTCCTCCAGCTTTTTTTTTTTTTTTCCCCTCAAGATTATTTTGGGTATTTTGGGTCTTTTGTGGCTCCAAACAAAGCTCTGTGAAAAATACCATTGATATTTTGATAGGGATTATATTGAATCTATAGATTGCTTTGGGTTGTGTGGATATTTTTACAAAATTTATCTTTTCTATT